CTTGGACTTGCACTGAATCAGAAGCCAAGGGTCATGCCATCGAAGACAAGACTCTACCCTTTTTGAACTGGCCATTGGAGTACTGCAAGCGGCTTGGGATCAAACAATTGACCCTCGGTGGCATTATAGATGGATATGGTACGGTATGAGATATGAGTCTATGAGTCAATGAAACTGTTTAAATGATGTGAGTCATGTCAGTCATGTCAAGTCAATTCTATCCACTTAAGAATGATCTATATACTGATCTAAAGTCAAGGACCAGTCCACTTCATTTTTTTGGTTGCCTAGTGACACGTGTTCAAGTGACACGTGTTCAAGTCAACTAGGTCAATGTCAGCAGGGCTGCCACCGCTTCAGATCGTAGAGGGCTGCGCTGGAGCCGCAACGGGATGGACTCACTGACAAACACGACTTGGTGCGGCAGAGAAATTGTTGGAACAAGGTTTGAAGTTGAATTGAAGTTGGAGCTTTGTCTTTCGGCTTGGCTGTGCCACCACCAAGGAAGAAGGTGGTGAAGACGCTCGCTGACTTTGGGGCCACCGACCTGAAGTTCAAATCCTACCCCATGGAATGTGACAAAAAGAGGCAGATGTTCATTCAACGCCACCATGGTGAGCACCGTGTTTTGTCAGCACCACTGAGCCGCTTTTTGTCCAGCCAGGGTCAGGTTGCAGGATTGAGGACTCGCCGAGAATGACGCAAACGTTTTGGAGAAAGCGTTGAAAGCAAAGACTGTAGACACTGTAGACACTTTTTGCCAGGCACAATTTGGCCCAGTCCAGTCTAGTCAGAGGCCTTGTTGCTTCTTCCCACAGCCTTCGTTGTCAAAGATTTTCCGTTCACCCTGGGGAGAATTGCCACCGTCTAGATTCATTTCAGAACTCAGTAATTCATTTCAGAAATCAGATCAAGTGTATTTTTCCTGATCTGATCTACCTACTGATCTCCAGTTACAGTGTTCATGCATCATTTGTACCATGAATCATTAAATGTCAGTCGCTGGCCAGATTGTGGCAAACTCCAGCTGACTTCATCCTCCGTGGCTACTTGGGGACAGAGCCCATCGGATTGGAGCTCATCGACGGGTACTTTCTGGAGGTCATGCATCTTGAGACTCTTGTGTGCAAGCAGGTGTTGATCGCTTTGGGTGAATCAAACGTTACAAGCGGGCCACGGGTCAACTGTTCAGATTCCAGAGGTCTCGTGTGTTTAAGTGTATTGAGTTTTCGTAGAGGAGCCAAAGAGTCAGTCACGACATTGATTCA